TCACACCCCCAGCATGGCTGTCGTCTTGATGCAGCCTCCTGCTGGCTCTCCCCTCTGTACAGTATCTCTTTAAACGGCTGCAAACAGAGCAAAGGTGGGCTATTTCTTTAAAAACACATGATGCAGAACTGACGGAAGTGTTTGTTTTTTGTTTTTTTTTGCTATGCTGTCTTGTACACACTTTGTATTGGGGTATAAAAATCACCTGCGTAGAGCTCAGTGAATTTCACACAGTAAAGTCTGTGTGTAAGTCACACCCAGATCATTTCCAGAGCCCCAGAAGCCCTCTCACCCTCCCCAGTCAGTACCCACCCCTTCAGGAGACCACTCTCCATACTCCAAACGCCACAGATTCGTTTGGCCTGTGCTTGAACTTCATATGAATGGATTTGCCTGGAACGGTCTTAACTTTTCCCCTTGACGTTGTTTCTGAGACTCATCCCATTGTTTCATCTATTCTGTTGACGAACATTTAGGTTGTCTCTAGTATCTTACTCCTGTGAATGTTGCTGCTCCAAACCTTCTCTGCAGGCTTTTGGTGAGCATAAGTGTGCGTTTCTGTTCGCAACTCCCAGTCTGAGTTGTATGCCAGGTCACAGGGTAGGTGGATGTTCAACTTAAGTAGAGACGGCCAGTTTTCCAGCATGGGCGACTACTTACGCTCTACCAGTAGAGTGTCACTTCCAGTTACTCCACATCCTCATCAACACTTGGTATTGTTGGTCTGTGTCGTTTTTGCTGTTCTAGTGCTTGTGCATGGTTTCAGTTTGCATTTCTCTGATGACTAATGGGGTTGAATAACTTTTTATGTGTCTATTGGCTATATTATGATTATTTTGATAGCCAGATAATAGTGTGTCTTATGGATGTTCCAGAACATTCTTTTCTTACTTGTAGCTGGACATTTGGATTGCTTTATTATTATAAGTAATGCTACAGTAAGCATTTTTACCCAGTAGTCTTTTCCGTGTTCTAGACTATTGGCAAGAGTTTTGTTATCATTTACACATTTTGATCATTAATGCCAGATGGCTTTCTGAATGTTTGAACTACTCCAAGATGGACTAACAATGTAGGAGAGTCCTAGACAGCTTCCCCCAGGTCCTCCAGCAATGTGTATTCTCATTAAAGAACAAACAAAACTCTTTAGGAGGACTAATTTTGGTGAAGGAAAGCATATTTAGCATTGTGTTACTTAAATGAGTTTGGTCACTTTTTCAAAATGTTTACCACGTGTGTTCCTCATTTATGAATTCCTACCTTTTGCCACTTGCATTTTGGTGAGTTTTTTGTTAATGTGTACAAGCATTACTGTAAAAAGCAGATGTTAGTATGGTAAGCACTTTCCTGTTTTACCAGTCACATTGCATATTGGTTCACTCGTGTGCCTTTGACGTTCACCAGCAAATCTTCCCCTTGGCGATTTTTATTGTGGCTCCCCCACCAGGACCCTGCCCTGCCTGCGGAGATGCCCAGGCTGAACGTCCCTGGGCACCCCTAATGGGAGGGATGGGAGCACAGCCTGCAAGAGAAACTGAGTTGGCCCTGGGCTAAGCACTCTGCTCTTGCTGTCATCTGATTCCCCAAACCTGATGCTTTGAGAGGGATGGCTCATGAGCTGAGCCCTGAGGCCTGCCTAACAGCCCCTGTGGTGCTGGGACTGGGTGGGGCCTGGGGGCCCAGCAGCAGCAGCAGCAGCAGCAGCATTGTGGGAGCCCAGTGGAGTTTACAGAGCCCTCTCCTGTTCATGCACATTTGGTTTTCATTGCAGCCCCATGAGATGGGTGCAGCCCATCCATCCCGAAGGGCAGGGCCTTAGAGGGCCTTGCTGCTTCTCCCAGGGCCTGTAGTTTGTGAGTGGGGAAACTGGTCTCAGATTCTCATCTCTTCATCTCCCTAAACCACACCCAGCTGCCCACTTGGCTCTTTAGGACAGGCCCAGACTCCCGCAACAGATCAGCCCTGCAGGGGAGAGGCAGATGTGCTTTCTCTTTCTCATTCATTTTGGGTTTGAGCAAAACTTGTATTTTTGAGCCAGAAGGTTGGATTGGGGTGTGGAGCTCAGACAAACATCGATTAGCTCTTGGCCTCTCCACGTTTCCAGGCATTGCAGTCTCAGGAACTTCATGTTTGAGCAGCTTGTTAAGTTTTCGCTTTCTTATTTTTAGATGATGGATTTGGACGTGCTTCTATGAAGAAATGCCACATGGTCCGAGAGCAAACATGTCCAGTAAGTTGTTTGGTGAATTCACCCAAGGACAGGAGCCCAGGTCCTTCAGGCACAGGGTGTGGACACTGTTTGAGAAGACAGGGCTGTCTCTGGAAATAGGAAGACCCCTGAGACAGTGTTTAAACCAGGCTTATTGCTCAGTCTAATTATCTTAACTTCTAAAGGTTGGTTCTTTCTAGAGACAGCAGGAGTTGTAGCACATAGGGTTGGAAAAACCTGAAACTCCCTTCTTGCTGCTTAACCTAGTTCTGAGAGCAGAGTGTGAGCTCTGGAGCTCGGAGCCATGTGAAGCGTCTGACTCAGCCTGTGGCAGTGTTTTACCCAGAACCCTCCCTTTCCACAGCACAGCACCCCCCACTTCGCTTAGGCCTAGATTACGTGCTTTGCGGGAAGCAAAGCCTGAGACCCAGACACGTGAAGTTTATGCAGCTCCGGGAAGAAAGCCAGCAGGCTAGAGTTGTGAGCTTCGTCCCGCTAGTGTTTTGCCACCTCTACGTAGCCCGTGGGCTGCTGCCCTTACCCTTGTCACAGAGGCTGTGTTGAATTGATTTAAGTTTTTAAAGGTTCTACAAGACTTGCCAACAGAAGAGCATAATAAAGAGAACAAGAAAATCTCAAAAGCCATATTTTATGATTATATGAAAACCGTAATTCACTGTGGCATATCTCCATTGAAGAGGACAGGACATCCTCAAGGGATCCCATGGACACCCTGTGTTGGGGAGTGGGGAGGAAGAAGTGACCGGAAGGGACAGGGAGCAGCGGACGGTCCACCCCAGTTCCTCACATGCTGGGGAACCCTGTCCCTGTACCTTGCCCCCGTTAGGTCACGTTCTTTCTAAATGAGAGCATGGTTTCTCTCGTCACCATCCCCCTGATTTCTTACCAGTACTCCTTTTCACAGGGCTACTGCCACTTTAGCGGACTAGGGCTCGGTGCCAAGGCTTCCCGGGTAATCAGGCGTGGTCTGATCCAGGATCAAGAAGCACGTTATCACCAATGACATCATGACAGCAAGAGAGCACAGCCCTCGCCATGGCGCCAGGGCCCGTGCGGTGCAGCGGGCTTCCACCATCGACGTGGCGGCCGACATGCTGGGCCTCTCTCTGGCAGGTGAGCCTCACAGGGCCTGCACCGGGCTCCAGGTATGAGCTCACAGCGCGTGGGCTCCACACTGTGGCAGTGCTGGGAGGGACCCGATAAGTCCCCACGACTACCCTAGACTACAGGGTACCCTGGTTTGGCATCCTTTTGGTTGAATGAGGAAATAGGGGAGGGGGGCATCAGCCCTCTTCCTGTGAACCGCTTCTGCTGGAGCCTGACTACATTCGTTTTCCAGTGTGGTGGGGGGCACCAGCAGGGTAGTGTGGGAATGTCCAGGTGTCTGGCTGGCTCCCGCCCAGGCCATGGTAAAAGCCCTCCCTGTTGTGGATGTGTAGATCCGAGGAGAAGCAGGGGTTTGGCTGTGGGGTCAGGGGCTTCTTAGCAATCTCAAAAACAAAGTATTTTTAAAATAAAGAAATTGTCTTGCATGGCAGTTGTTATTGTTGTTGTTGTTGTTGGGGGAAAGTAGAGGGTTATTTGTGCATTTAATCTGAAAACAGGGAAAAGTTTATTAAGGGTGATTTTTCTGTCATTTCTTTTCTATTCAGGAAATATACAGGACCCAGATGAGCCCATTTTAGAATTTAGCTTAGGTAGGTATCTTTCATTGTTTTTTGTCTTAAAAAATATTTTACTTAAAAATGAACACAAAAACACGACCACCAGCACACGGGCTTGTCTCAGAGAGCTCGCCGCCGCCGCTGCCGCCACTGCCGCAGTGTTTCTGAGAAGGCGGGGCCCTCACAGCTGTCAACTTCTGTGGATGGGAAGGCACCTCGGAGGCTCCGTGCCCACAGGTTCCTGGCTCCTCAGCATGGGACCCGCTCCCTTCGGAGGCTCTGTGCCCACGGGTTCCTGGCTCCTCAGCATGGGACCCGCTCCCTTCGGAGGCTCCGTGCCCACGGGTTCCTGGCTCCTCAG